CCAGCATTCTTTGGGCCAAGTCGGGAACCGGCTTGGGAGCTGGAGCCGGGGTAGTCTTTGCCTTGAAAGCGAAACTGATTTTGCCCCCTTTGTTGGGAGTAGCAGATGAATTAGATTGTTGCGTAGCATTAGTTGGAGGTGGGTTGCCTTGAGCATCACCTCCCGCAGTAGCCTTCGAACCGTCATCTTCTGTGTGGGTTTCTTTCCTTGATGGTGCAAAGCGGTCACCATTATCGTCAACATGGGATCTTTCTTCGTTGGCCGGGGGCGGTGGTGGGCTGGCTGATGGTTGCCTATAGGGCTCGTGAGGGCTGGAAGGGCCTCGACCTCGGGAATCACCCCTCCAATGTGCTTTGTTAAAATTGCTTCGGCCATGTGGTGGTCCATTATTATGGCCCTGAGGCCCCGAGTTCATAAAGCGACGGTCGCTGCCATGTCCTTGATAGCCGCCACGGTACCCTGAATGTCCACCACGGTAAGATGGCCCTGAATATGACGAACTGTGACCATGTGGACCACTCGTAGTGTAGTTGTTCTGCCGGTACGGAGAGGTAGGGCTATATAATTGTCCGATGTTAGTCTGATGCTGCGGAGAAGTGTCCTGAGATGACTCGACTTACACATGCTGACCCCGTCCCCCGCGTCCGCCCGAGTACGGAGAACCAGGCTGTGGCGATCCGTGGTAAGAATTCGTCGGAGTAGCATTCTGCATCGTCGAGGAGTATTGGGAAGCATCGGCATACGGTCGAGATGTTCGCGGGCGCTGGAATGCATCGCGTGATGTCTCCCCGTTGGCCGAAACACTAATATTATCTGCATCATGCCCCGGAGCTTCCCGAGACGGGGACAGAGACCTGAACGAGTCACCCGCTGCTGAGCGGGCGGGTCTGGCGGAGTTCATCGTCGGATCACCCAGAGAATTGCGGCGAGAAGCTATAGATAATCTCGAATCACCGGACTGCACAGAGTGACGCGAAGGTGATCGATAGCGGGGCTCGTTCTCGAGTTCGTCTTCCGGCAAAGGGCTATGAAAGCGACGCCGAGGGTATGCGTAAGACTTCCCACCACGTACGGGAGACCTAGAGCGCCTAGGTCGTGGGGATATTGGACGTCTACCCCCGGGTGGGCGTCTATCTCTCCCTCGTCGGGGGGATGGTCTCCGTCCAGACCGACCCCGAGTTGCGAATCGTCCTCGCCTGTTGGATGGCAGACCTCGATCCAGGTCGTCACTGTGATTGGAAGGAGGATAGCGATGACTTGGCCGGGTGGGAGGCTGATCGAAGCCACTGGGAGAAGGACTGCGCGTCCTTTTACGCTTGAAGGGAGGCGGAGCGGATGGTGAGTGGTCGCGCCGATGGTGGCCTCTATCGTTGGTGTTTTCCGCTTCGAGAGAACGACGCGATTCCAAGCCAGGATAATCAGCGGGTAAGGGTGAGCGATCACGGCCTAGTTTCCGACCAGGGTGAAATTCCGAATGTGGATGACCAGGGGAGCCACGGGCGGAGACGGTGCTAGGGGACAAATCACGGTGTTGGCGAGGTTCGTGGTGAGGTGGAGGAGGAAAGGGACGCGGTGGCGGCGACCGTAGAGGAAGCTCGTCGTCGGGTCTGCCCTCTTTGGGTCGGCGACGACGCTCACGGTCGCGAAATTTGTCCCTTCCCCTATCGCGGTACGAGCCTCGAGGCCGGTGCTTCTCCCGGTCTCTGGGGTCTCTAGTGTCGCTGGTGGCTCTCCACTGGTCTCTCAACACCGGACTCCTGCGGGACCCAGCCATGTATTCTCCTTCAGCTGCATCGGATTCCAACAGAAAAGGAAGGAAAAGCAGCAGGGATCAGAATGACCGGCCCACTGACGGATGAGGAGGTTCGCATGTAGATGTCAGCGTTAGGATAATCCGGTGGAGCCTATCCTCTCGTCTAGGCTGGTCGGGGCGTGTGTCGGCCGCGTTCACAGTTCTCTTTCTGTCGGGGGATTGGGTGGTGCGGAAGACCGGTTTTTCCGGGGGGTTTTGAGTTGACGGAGGGAGGATGGGAAAAAGGCGTCGCAAAGGCCGGCAGTTCTGGGCAGAAGCAGATCGTCAATGTCCGGGAACACTTTTCGAACCGGCTGCAGAATGTAAAGTGCAGGGGAAAATGGGTATTCTAGAAGGGAGAAGGGGGGGGGGACAGACGCACCTCGCAGTCTTTCTTTTTGGTTGGTCCCGAGGGGGATTAATTTGCTTCCTGTGGCCGCTTTCGTTGGCCTTGGAGCACTAGATAATACGAAGAACCACCATGAGTTGCAAGGTGGTGATGGAACGGGAGTCTACTTTGATGGCGGGAGGTTTTTAGTGAAGAGAGTCAGTTCAGCAGGTGACTCTGGGGCGGCCCAACACCGACGAGCCGCTGATCCAGTGTTCCTCCTTGTCCGATCCCTTCTTCCTCTTTCACTTCCGGGGTTGCCAGTAGTTTGGCTCTTACTACGGATGCTGGCGCAAGGCCGCGGTGCAGAGACGGCAAAACCAGGTGACGGCCGGTATTGCTGTCCGGTATGACCCCTTAGGACGCTTTGGCCTGGGGGATGGAGAGACATGGAGGCATTCAGTTGTCGAAATCCCCCAGTCAAATATGAGCGTCGCTGAATAGCACATCCTTAGCCCAGTAGTATTCACTCCATGCCCCTGCCTCGATCATGGCCATTGTTTCCATGTCCGGGCCACGGGAGAGCTTCAAGTCCTCTCTTCCATCATGGTCCAGCTGCACTGAACTCTGCCTTTTCTCCTACCCCTTCTTGCACTTCTGCCAATAATGATCTGTCTTGGGTTCATGTTCGGGTATTTCGTCTTTCCTCCAATTTTGTCGCGTAAAACATCACCATGTCTTCTCCCATTTTTTACAGGCTCATCACCTGCATATAGCGCTTTTGGTCGCTGGCTGGAAGAGGAAGCATATCCTTCCCACAACAGAACACACCTATCTACGGGGAGCAAATAAACCGCAAATTGACAAACATTGACAAAAATGATCAGAGCAAACACCTTGCCCAGGCGAGTTGTAGTAGCAGCACCGACGCAGATGGATGATTCCGCAGTGTTCGGTTGCGGCTCACCAGATTAGTTTCTTGCCATCAGTGGGTGTGGTGTAACATGTTGAGCTATCGTAGGCGCCCAAAAATGCCCAAGCGCCGTTCACTGCTTAACGTATTCAAGGCCCGCATGCTTCCTGACAACGATCAAGGAACAAGAAGCAGAAGGGGTCGATGTTGAAAGACAGCGGTGTAAGTCTTCGAGATACCGAAGACATAGGGTAGTCGAGCCTTGTGAAGGGGGAAAATATCAGGTATCATAGAGGACAATGTCATCCGTCTAATTACTCAAGTGTTCGACGGTCGGCGACCTGACTTTGGCACACCACGTCGAAACCATGTTTGAATCCTGGGTAAGAACCGAAGGTAGGCTCTAGCTATATCACAAGCCACGCCACAGATACAGGTAGTTGTACTCACACTCATCCAATTTCTGGAGAGCATACGGTTAATGTTTGCCATGTACGTACCTGCCGTTGATGTTTGGGGTGAAGTCATTGAGCCTCGAGGAACTCCGGGGAAATCCGGCATCTAAGCCTACCCAGCAAACACATGGCCTGCCAACCATACTGGTTGTGAGAGCAGAAAGAGGTTATTTCCCAACCATTCTGAGGTAAATCGGCCATCAAAAGCCACTTGCGAAAGTGATGTTTATCAAGGGTACTGTAGTAGAGGATCGAGACGTGGCTGTTCATGACGTGTATGTAGGCGGTGGAGATGCGGGCTTTAGGTGAGGCACTCCCAGTCCAACTCAACCGAACACATCGTAAACGTACGTGGCTAGGACCAACCCTAGCGGGCTGATTAACGTGCAAAGAGGCCCCAAAGTAATCTTTATTGCTCCAGGGACCTCCAACCAGAGCTTATCCGCAACGAAATATCAGAGGACAGGGGCAGGTCGGTACATGGACTCTTGTTGACTTTGGTGACAGGTCAAGGGTGGCCGTAAGCTTGAAGCAACGGAGGGAATGCCGCCCGCGGTCACGTGGTTCGGCGCCGGATTAGCCTGGTCTCCGGGGCTCGATAGTATAGCCACCAAGATTATGGACTATTCAACTTTGTTGTTGACTTGCTTTAGAAAGAACGCTTAGAGCTTATGGCTTACTACTCTTCACAGTTGGCTAGCGGGGATATAGCTAATATAATTTGCAGTATGATTGTCTATTGTATTCTAGTATAGAGCTTTGCTGAATGGAAGTTGATCTAATTCTATCCTATTGCATTGCAATAAATCCTGCTCTAAATCCTGCCTAGAGGCAATTTCAAATATTTTATTTCCATTAATATTGCCTGGGCTACTATTTTCTGGTTTGATTAGCCTGCTAAGCGAAAATACTTTGCTTGTTTACTAGTACTTGGATAGAATGTAACCCGTCTTGCCAGTACTAAGTTCTAAAAAGCCTTAGTATAAAATCTACAGGAAGAGACTGGAAAGGCTGCTAGCAGACATCAACACTCTAATCTCATGTTCTGGTAGTTTTTGAACCTTTTCTCTGTTTATACATATTTTTTACTAGCAGGGACGATAAAATATATTTGCTTCTTTTCTTTGCTATTTTAATTTCCTTACTGACTTCTAGACTAGTCCCCAACCTCTACTAGTATTGCGCAATTATAAGTTCATAGGGAAAATCGCCAACAGTCTGGTTTTGCCCAATACCTCCCAGTTCTACTTTCAAAACATCCAGTAATATATGCCGACGCAAAGAGATTTCGAGCTCTACTGCCAATGCTCCCCTCCAACCCGCTTACCGAGTATGCTATCCAACAGCTGCTCGGGAGGATTTGCAGATGAGAAGTCCTATACGGTGCTAATCCCATTTGAGTGTGCACGCCATTTTAGCAGATCTTTAGTTCAGACCTACCATCAATCATATGGTTGATCGATCCGATTCCCTCTTTTCTTGTGATATAAATAGCCTGAATTCTCTCATACTCCTCGCGAGCACCCCTTATCTTGCACAGACAATTCTCCATATGATGATTGCCACCACCACCCTTACCACTCAAACCGCATCATGATCCTCAGCGGACTTGAAGTCGTCACCCGCCAGCTGATGCGGAATCTCCGCGGTGCCACCCAACAACAACCCTGCGGCGTTGATCTCACCCTTCGTCAGATCTCCAAATGGACATCCGCAGCAACTATTGACTTCGATAATACGAAGCGCCAGGCAGCCAGAACCTCTATCTTGCCGTTTGATAACGCAAGTCACGCCATTACACTGCCACCAGGCGCTTATTTGGTCGACTTCAACCAAACCGTTCACGTTCCACGGGACTGCATGGGCAGCATTTTCGCGCGGTCATCTCTCTGGCGCTCTGGGGTGGGGATTACGGCGGGTGTTGTCGACGCCGGGTATGAAGGTGCTCTCGGTGCCCTGATGGAGGTCAAGAATCCCCACGGCGTCGTTCTGTATCGAGATGCCAAGCTCGCGCAGATTGTCTTTGAGGAGTTGAGCGAAGAGGTGGAAGGATATAATGGTATCTACCAGGCTTCCACGAGCAGTGTTGGGCGTGATGGAACGGGTCAGACTTCAAACACTCAAGCAGGGGATACTATACTAGAAAGGTGAGGCAGGCATTGGAACACTCGACGACATCGTAGCTAGACCGGCCGCGCAGGTTTGGCATGGAGTTCTCTTCCCCCGTACCATCAGCTTTGAACTTGATCAGCGATTACCAAGTGGATTACCTCTAAAATGCGTCGCCACTGGCATAATTGGCCCCATTGCCATTCTCCAAGCTTGGTATGCCACTGATACTAATAGCTTGCTTTTGGAGGAGATCATAACGTATCTGAATTAGGCATGCTGAATCCACAGAGTAGCTAGAGCAGATATGATATGGCACTATTTTAGATGAATTGCAATACTAACTAAAAAGAGAAATAGTAGAGATGGTAGCCGAAGTACTGTACTTGATGTAGGTTCGTAGGGTATACAAACAGGAGAACAGCTAGTTAGAATGGTATGATGTTGTTGGCATCCACTGGAGCCTGGCATCACCTGATCCATCGCCACCTCTGCCCATGTGGTCCCTGCTCACTACCACCATCACACCGTATCTTGACCATAAACACATACAAGGACCTATTCCCTAACCTACCTATTGAGACATAATGGCAATACTAACGGCTTATTATCAACCTTTTCTCTTTCTTAGCACTCGGACTCTATAACTAAGGTGCCGATAGCACTCAATCATGAAGAGAACTAACCAAGGCCGTATTCGATACTGTGAATCTCTCAATGAGTATTCATCCTCATGTAAGTATTCGTGACAAATGCTCTCTGACCCACTGCTAACCTTCTTACTGGCGAAATACACAGCAAGTCTGGACACTGATGAAACATATACTCTTCTTTCACGGGATTTGCAGCTTGTCAAATATCAATGGCCTGGCATCGCCCCTTTATGATCTCCAGAACTCAACAATAAATATCCTAGATATGGCCTTTCCCTGTAACAGGAATTTCTGTCGCTTTTTTCGGCACGTCAATGTGGATCAGACAAGCCTTTTCCTCCCCCTCCTCTTTTCTTTATTTGAAACAGGTCTACGAACTGCCTGCCAACAATACACCGTTCTTGTGGTTCTCCCCATCCACAAACCCGCATTCGCAAGTGTTCGTCCGATACCTTGGAGATGAACAACTACTTTGACCGCCATATCCTTTAACCAGCGTCATAAAGCCTACAATCAATGGTTCCTGCATGGTGATGGGGTGCATTACGTGGTTCCCGAACCAAGCATTTTCTTTAATGAGCAGGCGATGCCCCACAGTGTTTGACGATTGTGATAGCTAAATCGCGTTGCTGAATGGTGATAGGTCTGAGATCTATCATCGCTCCTAGTATACGTTTGGAATAAGTTAAAGTACTGAACCCATTGTGGATATTCGTCGTCATCAACGGTGCCGTCAGTGCCGTGCAGAAATTTGGACGTGGGTCTGAAAGAAGCACACTTTAAGCTTACCAGTGATAAGATCATAAGGTCGTTGGAGGTCCACTCATTCGTGACCTCCAACCTCCGGTTTTGTCAATTGACGAGCTACAGATTCCACCATCTACTTTTAGTCCACACTTCCCTTGTTTCTACCCGTGCATCCACGGTGTTCTACCGGCGGAGACTAGCCCTCGTTAGGCAACAATCGGCACATCTCCCGTTTATCAACAACAGAGCGAGTGGGGGATCTCTATCTAACCTATTGAACAGGATTGCAACACCCTCTAACTGGAATGCTGCTTTATCGTGAAGAGCATGATACCCGCTTTTGTCTCCAACGATCAATCTATATGGCTCGGAAAATGCAGGTACCGGGCTAGGCTTTCCCCTCCTTTCTCGGTTGGAGTAACCGTTCCTGGGAATAGTAGCTGAGCTTGATTTGATGCGGCCGACGTCTCACGATCTCCTTCTGTAGATATATAAGCAGTTCTCTCACTCTGCTTGTTTGAATTTCAACCCATCAGACTTCTAACCGTCACTCTTTTATCAGTACAGCCATTCTTTTCCTACTTGACATATCAACCCCATGAAGTCCGCTACACCCTTCCTCGCCGCAGCCGGCGTGGCTGCAGCCAAGAACTGCAGTGTCGACACCATTGCTCGATTCCTTCCCAAGAATGCAACCGTCTTTTACGCCAATCATTATGAAAAGGGATATAACTTCACCCCTGCCATTGAATACAACTATGGCCTGACTTCCGACCCCATGGGCATCAGCGCCTATGAACTTCCTCTTGCCGGCTGTGTTGCCCAGGCCAACATATCCCTGCCCAACAACACCCAGCACAGCGTCGGTCTAGTCCTACCCGACGAATGGAACGGTAGATTCATGGCCGTCGGCAACGGCGAATTCGCCGGATCTGTCGGCTGGTCTTCCATCATCAACACCATGTGGTACGGCTTCGCCAGTGTATCAACCGATACCGGCCACGAGGGCAACAATGGAAGCTTCGGCTACCACAACGAAGCTGCCCTCACCAACTGGGGCTACCGCGCCCTCCACGACGCCGTAGTCAACGGCAAGAAGGTCACCGAGGGCTACTACGGAAAGGACATCTCCTACAGCTACTACCGGGGTTGCTCCGCCGGTGGCAAGCAGGGCTTCAAAGAAGTCGAGATGTTCCCCGACGACTTCGACGGCGTAGTTGCCGGCGCACCAGCCTGGTGGACTTCTCACCAGCAGCTCTGGAACGTCCTCACTGCCATCTGGAACCTCCCGGAAACCGCCGACTACCACGTCAGCGACGCCCAAATGACCGCCGTCCAGGACGAGATCCTGAAGCAGTGCGATCCCCAGGACGGCCTGAAAGACAATATCCTGCAGAACCCCTTCGGCTGTGTCTTCGACCCCGTCCCCGTGATGTGCAACGCCACCTCCTCCAACGACACCTGCGTGACCCCTGCCCAACTCAAGACCGTCAACAAGCTCTTCAACCCCTGGTACGAAGCCAACGACACCCTAATCTTCCCCGGCTACACCCTGGGCACTGAAGTCGGCGCTCCCAGCCTGGACGACGACTTCGTCACCTACATCCAATATATGCTCCAGATCGGCGGCGACTGGACCTGGAAGGACTGGAACCCGGACCTCGTGGCCCTCTCCGACAAGATCAACCCCGGAAACGCCACAGCCGACGACTTCGACATCTCCCCGTTCTACAAGAAGGGAGGCAAGCTCCTCCACTACCACGGCTACTCCGACCCGTCCATCGCCACCGGCTCCTCCGTCTACCTGTACAACCACATCCAAGAAGCCCTCCGTCCCCAGGACATTCCCATCGACGACTTCTACCGCTTCTTCCTGATCCCAGGTATGGAGCACTGCACCAGCACGCCCTCCGACCAAGACGCCCCTTACTACATGAACGGAGACAGCCAGGCCGCTTCTCTCTCCGGAACCGTATTCGGAGTGCCCGGATTCAATGACCCCAAGCACGATCTCGTCCTGGCTATTATGGACTGGGTCGAGAATGGCACTGCCCCTGACTATCTCATCCCGACTAAGTTTAAGAACGATGATGTTGCTGATGGCGTCGACAAGCAGAGGCCGATTTGCCCTCATCCCCAGCTGGCTAAATACAAGGGCTCTGGTGATGTGGATAAGGCTGAGAACTGGTACTGCAGTACTCTCTACTAGGGAGCATGCCTTGCTTCTTCATAGGTGTATATGGATGGATGTTTGATTTGTTGTGGTTGGTGCTGTTTTGGTACCTGTTCGTGTGTATATAGTACGGACTGGGACCTTGAGGGTTCTGTATCATAATAGTGTAGTAGATGCTTGATACACTTTTGTAATATAAAATGTCCAAAAATGCTATCTGTATCTCAGGTTTTACGTGTCTCACACTCGTAGTATCTAAAACAGGTGCGGACATAGGTTAGAAGGATACATTGCTTTGCCTTCTACCCGAGTTAGCCATACATTTGAAGGCACTAGGTTGCTCCAAGGTCTAGGCAGTAGTTATCTCATACGTGGCTGAGAAGTCGAAGACTCTACTCACTCATTACGACAAAGTAGTACCTATTTCCAATGTCACCCAGTACTAAACACTCGAAGATACATGACTATTGAACCAATATCCTTCGTCCTACCTAATTCTAGATCTCCATATGCATGGCTCAGAGACGCCCATTCACGTCTTACGATACTTTGAACGCAATGACGCCAGTATCACCTCACCCAGTCCTCCAATAGTACCCGCCTTGCTGATAGCCGTCAGAGACAACACAGCACCTATGTTGCGACGAGACCAATTGCGAAGCTCAATCGTCATCAAAGAGTCAATAGGCAATTCCACCACCTGATCGTAGCTGAGGTCATGGGCAAACTTAGAGTACTCCTGTATACCCTTGATCAAGTACTCAAGTATCCTGTTGGCCATGCCATCGGTGTCGAGAATCTCAGGTTGTCTTTCGATTAGAGCTGAAAATTCCCGCATGGCTGCTGCATTGCTCGAGGACGACTGTGCTGGGCCTCTGTTGACGTCCTCGTCGAGATTCCGGTAGATGCAAAATCGCGCATCTTGTCCCCAAAGCGGACGGACCGAGAGGTCAGTCAGGGATTTGGTACTGCTCATACCAACGATGATATTGTTTGGCGCTCTGATGGTACCATCAGCTGTACGCAAGGGGGCCCTTGATTGACACTTGAGAATAGCGAGTTCGAATGCGTCCAGAACTTCCTGCTCCTGCAGAAGGCGTACGGATCCAGAGCTCATCCTCTCTCGTAAATTTGGGTCTTGTGTGGCGATGTATCCCACATCTCCCACGGCGCCGAGGTTGACGACCAAGGCGGGAAGCCCAAGCTGCAGGCGATACTGCGTGAAAGAGGACATGAAAGCATTGGCTGAGGAATAGTTGATTTGACCTGGGACACCCAAGACACCTGAAATGGAACCACAGAGGACAAAGAATCTCAGGTGAGCATCACGACCTTGTAACGCATGATGCAGATTCCAAGTGCCTGCGACCTTGCAGGCCAACACATCTTGCCAGTCCTTATGTGTCAGATTTTGGATGAAATGGTCCTAATCAATTAGTCTTCAAGTCAAGGCATCGAAGGGAGTTATAT